AGAGCAACCGTCGGCTGACGACGAAAACAAGTTGCTGAGAGGGTGAGTCGCTTCCTTGCTGAAAAGGATCTGGTAGCAAGAAGCCTTAAAGCAGCTTCCCAGTGCAACAAGGACTATGACACATGCTCCAACGTGCTGCCGGGCCATAGGAACTTCACCTGCTGCAACAACAAGTGCGTGGATTTGTCCGTAAACAAGCACAACTGTGGTGCATGCAAGAAGAAGTGCAAGTACACGCAGTCGTGTTGCAGAGGGCAGTGCGTGGACCTGAGTTTTGACAAGAGGCATTGTGGCCGGTGCAACCATCCCTGCAAGAATGGAGCGTATTGTGTGTATGGTCTCTGTGATTATGCGTGATTAATTAAGACGGTCCATTAAGGGATTGTGAGTGCTCCTGAGGTTCGTAATTTTATTGATTATACAATAAAACAACCACAATAAGAAGAAAAAATAAATAAATTGGTGGTTCTCTCAAATAATTATATAGTTATTACTACTTTTATTATTAATTATACAGTCCTCGAGTACTTTTCTCTAAATGTTATGATCTATTTAAGAACTTGAATTATGAGTATGGAATTTGTATGAATCAATAACTTGTAATTATTCAATACTTATACATTTTTTGTTCGAGAGATGTAGAGACCACTGTAAACTATACTTTTTTCAATATAATATGGATATTCTTATAATAAGGGATTCCTTGGTGCCCATTGTTTTATTTTATTTCATTTTTTACATAACAAAGACATATTTAGTTAATAGGGTGACTTAGTTTTTGTTTTAACATAATGTCAAAACAATTCCCCAAACATAATTAAAATACTTCACATGAACTAGCCAACAGTCAATTTTTTTTTAGTATAAGCGGTTGGGGGGTTTGTTTACACAAATATTTTTTCGGGTGCTTGGGGTTTCAAACCTCTATCCACATAATACGAGGTGGAAGAGCTCAACAAACTGAGCTCACTACTACAAAAATCGAAATAGACGACGGGAAACCACCGTTGTGTAAAAGGTTTTCCAACCGTCGTGAAATCGACTGCCGTCTATTTGGGTTTCAAACTACGACGGTTTTTCACCATCGTTGTTTATCTGTAAAGACGACGGTTTTTTAAATAAAATCGTCGTTGTTTAGAGGTAAAGATCATTAATTATAGGAGTAAAAGACGACTGTTTTTAATAAAATCGTCGTTTATTGTATGTAAAGATGACGGTTTTTTATGAAAACTGTCGTGGATTGTTTATAAATGATGACAGGTATAAATTTTTAAATATATAAAAACCATCAATCATTTACATACCAATTTTAGACAAAAAAAAAAATATAAAAAACTTATAATATACGACACTTTTTTATAAAAACCGTCGTTAATTATCTATAAAGACCATAATTTATTATAAAAACCGTCATCTAATAAGTTTCCAAACTGCTACATTTTAGTTCTTTTTTATTTCCTATGATGCTATACAACGATTTTAACTAGAAAACCAACCATAATGCTTTATTAATGAATATATACACAAATAGTTTCTTTCATAAAACTTGAAGATTCAATAGTTATTACATAGTTAACCAATCCTTATTCTACAACAAACATAATTCCTAACAAGACCTAAGTACTCCTAATCCAAGCATTCCTCATCCAAACATACAAATGATGCACAACTGAAGTCTCCTCCATCATCCCTGTAAATAAATCAAGATGACAAAGAGAGAGAAAAAAAAAGCTAAGATTATAAACATAAAAATTAGGTGGAAGAGAAATTTTACCGTTGGTCCATATTTCCATAGAAAACTTGTAAAATGAGCATAAAAAAAACCATCGAGAACCTACAACAGGAAAAATATATAAATAAAATGATGGTGAAAAGAGAAGGTAACAAATTTTCAACAACAAAAAAGCATACGACTCACATAGAAAACCTGCAAAAGAAAAAGTTATAAATCTGCAAGCTTCCTCATCATCTCCTGATAACCAAATCAGAAAATATAAAAAGAAACCAAAAATATAAAAAAATATATGTAAACAAACCAGACAAATCAAGAGAGACAAAATCTGAAATTAGGGAGACAAAGAACATACCAGAAACGCAAAGAGACTAATCCAGAATTCACTTGCAAGATATAGAAGGGTATTTTAGAGAGTTTCATGAGGGTGTTTTAGAGAGTGCAGGAGGGTTTCAAGGAGGGAGAGATAAGGTTTTCAGAGACGGGGGAAAATCTGAAAATTTGTCGAGGGCGAATTCACTTAAGTAGCCTTTTTTTAGCGTGTTTTAAAAGACGACGCTTGTTAATGAGAGATAAGGTTTTCAAAGACGGGTGAAAATTTGAAAATTTGTCGAGCACGAATTCACTTAAGCGGCCATTTTTTAGCTTGTTTTAAAAGACGACGCTTTTTAAAAAAAGATCGTCATCTTTACATATAATAGACGACCCTTTTTTAAAAAAAACCGTCATCTTTACATAAAATAGATGACCCTTTTTAAAAAAAAACTGTCGTCTTTACTTCATAAAACAGTGGAAGCAGAAGGGACGTAGCGGGAATTTGCAGTTTTGTCATCCGAGCTCTGATTGAGGTCCATGATACCTTTCTGAAAAGGGAATAAAGCCAAGAATTAGACTCAATGCCGTTGACATATGGTGGTTTTTGACCATTTGAGGTCGTTTAGCCTTCCAAAAACGCATTTAAAGAGTTGAAAGTAAAGACGACGGTATTTTTTTTATAAAAATAGTCGTCTATTATAGGTAAAGACGACTCTTTTTTTTAAAAAAAACAGTCGTCTTTACCTATAATAGACGACTCTTTTTATAATAAAAAAAACCGTTGGCTTCATTCCCTTTTCATAAAGGTATCATGGACCTCAATCAGAGCTCGAACGACAAAACTACAAATTCCCGCTACGTCCCTTCTGCTTCCATTGTTTTTATGCATCAAAACCGGATAACAGCCCCATACTAGTTACATGCCTCTTGAAAACATTATTTGGTAGCCCTTTATTGAATGTAACAGCCCCATACTAGTTACATACATCTTTACATATAATAGACAACCCTTTTTCCAGAACAAACCGTCATCTTTACTTCATAATAGACGACCCTTTTTTAAACAAACCATCATCTTTACATATAATAGACGACCTTTTTTTTAGACGACCCTTTTTTAAACAAATCATCATCTTTACATATAATAGACGACCTTTTTTTTTAAAAAAAAAGGGTTGTCTTTACTTCATAATAGACGACCCTTTTTAAAAAAAAAACTATCATCTTTACATATAATAGACGACAGTTCTTTCAAAACAACCATGTCTTTACCAAAAAAAGGACACTTGATTTTTAAAAGACGACGCTTGTCATACCTGCTGTCATTGTTTTTTGGTCAGATTTTAACTCTGAAGAAAACCTTTTTAATAAGACGACGCTTTTTTATTTGTGTGCGTTGTTATAAAAAAAAAAATTCAACAGTACCTCCGTTTTTTAGTTGTTTAAGTCACTTATCTATGACGGTTTTTTGTTACCGTCATCTTTTTAAATACAACGACAGTTTTTTCTTCTACTGTCGTCTTTTTCACTTTTTGTAGTAGTGGCTATACTCCATTGGCAGCCAATATTCATTTTAAAGATTGAATACTATTGCTCAACCTTAGTTTTTTTTAGTTGTTTTTGTTTATTTTATCAAGAAAATACAATCGCTCTTTTATCAAAAGATTCATTTATGTAATTATTTCTTATATTTAATATTTAATTGCTCCACGTAATCACACTGTAAATTGCCGTTAATAGGACTGGTTAAAGTTAAAGCAAATGCAAGTTTGATTGACTCTCCAATCTTTTAGATTCTAAAAGTAAATTATGTTTTTTTTACGAAACTACCACTGTCAAACATTAATCAATTTTTTTAGTTCTCATGTTATCGGAGCAAATACTTAACTATATACAACTAATTGTATGCAAGAACTACTCTCACATTAGACGATTACGCCTCTCATGCGTCCACCACAAGAAACCTCTCCTCCGGAGAGAAGTGGGATAATCCCAAACAAATTTATTCCTCAATCCCGAAAATTAGAATTAAACCATGAAAGACTGTGAAATCACATCCTTTTTATTTTTATTTTTATAGTTGCCATTATTTTAACTTACTAAAACTAATTTTTAAGTGGCATAGACTTTATTATCGTTGAAATAATCATTAATTTTCTTTATTTTAAAGGAGTATAAGCAGCATGTACATAGATGCCTCATTTGAGATCGAAGCAAGAACTTAAAAAAGTGCGGCCCAGTCAAAGGTCTGCCTCTATGCATGCGCTGCTCCTCTAGTTTTTATAATAGGTTTTGATAAGTGATAACTTGATAAGCAAACAAAACAAGCAAGATCCAGCTTTGTAATTAGGTGACGAAATCATTGATTTCCTCAATTTGCGATTCTTCCTATAACACTCTGGTTGAAGCAAATGGCCATAACATTTTCCAGGAAAGTCGCTTTGTAAAGCACATGGCCTCATATATATAGCTTTTGTGTTTCCGCCAAAAATGGTGCTAGTTGTGGCGGATTTAGAATTTGGAAGTAGAGTAAGCAGAACTTATAGGTTGCATGAATACGGATACAGATACGTCGATATGGAAAATTTCTAAAAACTAGGATATGTGTGTGTATAGCACTGATACGATGTGCGCTTTAGCGTACAAGAAATTGGGCTCGGTGTACAAAAAAATTGGGTGTCCAAATAATTTCACTCAATCCAAAATAATTATAGAGTCCAATACCACCCATATCAATCACGTGATTCCATGTCACTTTTATCCCTCTCTCCTCGCTCTCTCTCTCTTTTTTCTTTTTTTTTTTTTTTTTTCCTTTTCTTTTTTTTTCCTTTGTCTTCTTTTTTTTTTTTTTTTTTTTTTTTTTTTTTTTTTTTTTTTTTTTTTCTTCTTCTTTCTCGTTTTTTCCTTGGTCTTGTTGCTTCATATCTACTTCTTTTTATTTTCTAACAATTTTTGGGTAGGCAGCTGCCTACCCAAAACATGGCTAGATCCGTGCCAGTGGGTGCTAGTGCCATATTTAACATAGAGAGATGCAATTACAAAAGTTCTTCGTTTTTCTCCTTCCCAAATTAGACAAATGAATGTATTATTATTTAAACAATTTGAAATTTTTCGAAAGATTTGAAGTTTTGAAACTAAGATATGTGGATTTTCCTAAATTTCGGCATTAGAATTCATTTTGAAACCCTAATCGTCTAGCTAGAAGGGGGATGTTCGACCATTAATTGAGGATTAATTAGAGGACTAACATGGATCGGACTTAAATGTCGACCCACGAATTGACACATACACAAATTGAGCAAGAAATGACCATGTGCTAGACACGACCCATTCAAACGAACAATTTGGAAAATAGAAAGTATTGCAAGAGTTGGCTTGAAGCCCAAGATAACATCTTAAGGATGAGTCGCTGATGGCCTAGGTGAAGACCCCTCCAAATATGAAAAGCTTTAGCACATCAACTAAAACACACAACTTCACAGCAGATTCCTGGGCGTCATTTAGGATTGCTTTTTTTGTCAAATATTTATGTGTTTGGTAAAAATAAAATAAGGTTTCAATACTACAATTATGGAAAACAATGATCCGTATTAGACGACCGTAAAACTAAAAAGTGTCGTGTTTTAAAAAATCATAAAAAACCACGACAGTTCCAAGGAACCATCATTCTTTAAAAGGCTCACATAAAAATTACGACCATTCATTTCGAAAACTGTTGTCCTTTAAAACGTGCTGGAAAGGGAAGGGCGCTGTGCACAAGCAGCGCGTTCTGGCCTATGCTGCACCTTTTGGGGCATTTTATCAAGAAGATTGTAGGCATCTTGCAGAGGGTCAATTTCTTCCCCTCTTATGGCAGAGTCCAGCATTGTAGAAGTCAATTGACCACTCTTGCTTCTCTGTGGATCCACCACTGGCTCTGGCTTTATGCCAGTTTTAGGCGTTATGCATATTTGTGTTTTATTATTCGTTAAGAAAATTCAATCAAATCGTTTTATACTATTGTGGCTACACCATAGCTTGTTTGTTTTGGTTTAATTACATATGTTATTCAACTATATAGGCTGCAGTAGGCTACAGCCCATGGAGGTTTTGGGGGAAAAAGAAATCAAGCCCACATATTTGACTTATTTTAAATATAGCCTATTTGTGTCTTACATTCTTTGTATTTTCACATGAAATTAGCGAAATATTTGTCTCTAGCTACAACTTTAATCACTTCATTGGTTGGTGCTGCAAATTTATTTCCTCATGGGTGTACAGCCCAAATTTCTTATTAATTATGTTCTACAAATTTGTGCGGTATTGAAACACAGTAAGTAGTCAAATTGTCCTTGGGTTAAAAGAATATTCCAAAATTCTTCTTTTAAAAACACACTTGATTCATGTTCATTCAGAATCTTTCTTCATACACAAAAATGGAACAAGCTTGATGAACTCGTAGAAATCAATTAAAACACATGATTTGAAAATAGGGCAATACTAAAAATATACGAAACTTGTGTCAAATTAAGCTGCCTAAAAATATAATATATATTAAAACACTTGATTCATGTTATTAATCAATTTATGCAATTGGTTCATATTTCAAATATATAATATATATTTTTTAATATACAAGCGATAATTTAAACTACAAGAGAATGGGGGGTTTCACACGCACTAGTACTACTAAGGTGTCATGGGGGATTGACAAATAATAAAATATGAAACGGGAAACTGATTTATGAAAGGAATGATCATCATCAATCTCATTGTAATAAAGTTAACCACCACTTATACATGCTAGCTTCGCTAGCTAGCAGCATATACAATGCATCATGCACGTTTTTCTTAGTGGAATGGTACAAATTCACGGCTGTTCTTTTTATAATAAGGTCCTCATGTCAAATTCAAATAGATACAATTAGCGATAGGAAAAAGCAACGAGAAAATTAACATATATATTTTAAGGTCAATTGTTAGTTAATTATAATTAGCGAGATACGATGACAGGACCCGCCCCGAATTTCCCGGAATCCGAGACGAACCCTGCGGAGACCCCGGCATCACACCCACGCCGGGTTCACTCCTTAAAACTATGTCCTCTTTTACCAGAGAGGATTTAGGGCACGAGACTTTCTGCCCAAATTTCGGCAGAGTCTCCCCTGTAAATTGAACATTCCCCAAAATTTCCACCTGCATAAAACACATTTTATAACCCAACCAGCAGCACGCACAATATAATCTCATGCAATTGACATAAATGGCCTCCGGCCTTCAAATGATTCTAGCAGAACTACTCACACTGCTTTCAAAATAACTCCATGCATCACACATGCACAAATCCAATTCGAAATCCATCCATACACACCTTCACTCACTTAGTCACCAGACAAGCCTCAATTCAACCCAGTTTCGGGACCAACCACGGGGTCCGCATCATACTCGATAAAACCACCTAAGTGGTGTCTAGGCCGTGGCTGCACCTAGGCGCTATCCCAGGCTGCCTACGTACCCTACTAAGGGATCAAGCCACACGTAGCTCTTTCCTATCAATCCTGGCTCCTGATATCAATTAAACCATCACATCCATATAAATTCATACATTCTCGGGTTTATCCATCACAACACACCCAACATAATCACATAGCTCCCACTCATACGTCGGGACGCACCCGGCCACGTACGGGGTCTGTCAACACGCCGGCTAATCCAAAGACGCGTGCGACCTCACACTGGGCCTGGCTACATTCTCACCAGCCCATCATACCATCATATCTCCCACTCATACGTCGGGACGCACCCGGCCACGTACGGGGTCTGTCAACACGCCGGCTAACCCAAAGACGCGTGCGGGGCCTGGCTACATTCTCACCAGCCATCATACTGTCACTTGGGCCACCAGCCATCTACGTCACTGGGTCTGAGCATAATCACAATATGAGGGGTACGTGGGGTAGTGCGTATAGCACTGTAAACTAATATTCAATCTCCTTATATACCATTATACCTCCACACAATTAATTAAATATATCATACAATAACATCAACCAATAAAACATTCCATAAACTCCCACCATTTAAATTCACCAATTTATATCCTAAACCCACAATATCCATTTAACTCAACAACGCTCAAGACCTGTCACTAAGGTCATTCTAACCCTCAAGAAAGGTAAGACTATCTCGGAAGTCTCACGGTCAACCTAGGGTCAAACGGGCCTGCGGGGCCCACAACCTCCAAATTCCGATCCGAAAGTTCCTATAGGTTCTACAGGCTCTAGGACACATGTCCTGCAAGTTTGGTCCAGATCGGACGGTCGGATCGCTCACGATCGCACGATCGGACGATTACTATAAACCCTAACCCCAGGGTTGGCATTTCCGGAGTATCCGGGACTCCGTTTTACGATCCGTCGAATCCTACACGATCCTGGTAATACCTAGATCAACATATTATAATCTCAGGACCATCCAACGGTCCAAACCCAGCGAACCCGGAAAATACGCGATATGCGATATCCGTTCGGGACTCTAACGATATCCAAATTGAGATCCGAGCACACCTACGCGCTCATGACAACGGAGGATCACATTGGGACAAAAATGCCCCTCAGCTACAGTGCCCACGCGCCGCCACACGCGCCGGCAGCGCGTGGGTGTCCAAAGCGATATCACATCGCCGGAAAAACCACAAATCACGGCTCAAGACTCCTACCCTAGGTAAAACACCTAATTTGGAGTCACTTTTGTTCTTGGACGTACCCCAAAATCTGACCGGAAGTGGCCGGAATCTCATCCCGAAATCCGGCCGAAACCCAATTCGTAAATCGAGTTGCCTACGCTACAAATCGATCAATTCCTACCCAACAGGCAGCTAGAGCTCGGAAAATAGGTGAGAAACCATACCTTGATCGCAAAGATTTGGTGGCCGGAATCGTCGGAACGAGCTCCGGAAAATCTGGGTAAAAACCGGCCGTTTTTCTGCACTTTCCGGCGGTATCGCTGCGGCTGACAGCGGAGACTGGGTGGGGTAGGACGGCGAAGTCAGGCCGGTCATTTTGGGACCGGTCCCCGACCCGACTTTGGTGGCCGGATGACGAACGGCCGGCCAAAACGTGGCCGGCCACGGTGGCGGTCGCGAAACCAGAGGAGAGAGAGAGAGGACGCGCGGGAGAGAGAGAGTGTGTGAGAGACGGGGGCAATTCCGTCTTTTAACCAAAAATCCCACTTCAAATATTTACGATTATGCCACTGAGCTTCATTTGATCATATCTCTCTCGTTACAACTCCGATTCGAGCCCACTACGTGTCTACGGACTCATCTCACCGTGCTCTACGCAACGGTACAACCGGAATTCCCAAATTCCTTCCGGATAAGAAAATGACTAAAATACCCCTATCCCACGGGTAATTTCTCAATTCCACTTAAATAAATTAAAACATGGGATAAATTTGGGGTCGGGGTGTTACATACTACCCCCCTTATAAAAATTTCGTCCCCGAAATTTCATACCTGCCACTCCAAAGGGTGTGGGTATTGGGCCCGCATCTACTACTCGGGTTCCCATGCTTCATCCTCCACAACCAAGTTGGCAGCCAAGCCATTACTCTATCCAAAAGCAAAGGAAGAGAAGTCTCTTTCTCTTCTACCATGAATATCCATTAATAGCTTCTGTAAATGCTTACTCTTCCTCTAACTAAATGCTTCCATTGTGATTTGATTTCTCTTCCAGCTCTCCCATGAAGAGATCCAACCTCTGACTGTTGATATATCTCCTTCTTTCTTTAGAATCGATAAGCAATATTGCCAACACGATTCTTTGAGGGATGTCAAGGATCATTTTTACCGAATGGGTAATCATCATCTCCTCTCTCTACCATGACCCATTTCGATTCCGATGAAAGATTTTGCTCAAACGTGCTCACTGCACACAATCGAGAAGTAGCAACATGAGGTTCCACTCCTGTCAATCGCGGCATTCAAGCCCACGCGAGTGAAGTGATACTTCATCCAACACTATACTTCTCAACTTAATTTGTCACGACCCTCCTTGGTCGGACTCACAACTCTTCCATTCCCTTGTAACTTGTCCATCAACTTCCTCTGACAATTTCATCTCATCGGATTCAATACTTTCAGCTCCTCCATTTCCTTCCATAGGATATTGAGATACGACAATTTGGATAGACACGTTTCTAGGAACGTGACACCCTTAAGTGTACTCATCAATACCCTAAATCCATCCTGTCAAAGAGTCCTCTGCGTCGAAATGATGACGTCCTGTGACGGAACCCATCATGATCCCACAACTTAAGGATGCACACAAGGTGCGGGTCCACAAGAAATTGAACCTAAGCTCTGATACCAAGCTGACAGGACCCGCCCCGAATTTCCCGAAACCCGAGACGAACCCTGCGGAGACCCCGGCATCACACCCACGCCGGGTTCACTCCTTAAAACTATGTCCTCTTTTACCAGAGAGGATTTAGGGCACGAGACTTTCTGCCAAAATTTCGGCAGAGTCTCCCCTGTAAATTGAACATTCCCCAAAATTTCCACCTGCATAAAACACATTTTATAACCCAACCAGCAGCACGCACAATATAATCTCATGCAATTTACATAAATGGCCTCCGGCCTTCAAATGATTCTAGCAGAACTACTCACACTGCTTTTAAAATAACTCCATGCATCAAACATGCACAAACCAATTCAAAATCTAACTATACACACCTTCACTCACTCAGTCCACCGACAAGCCTCAATTCAACCCAAGTTTCGGGACCAACCACGAGGTCCGCATCATACTCGATAAAACCACCTAAGTGGTGTCTAGTCGTGGCTGCACCTAGGCGCTATCCCAGGCTGCCTACGTACCCTACTAAGGGATCAAGCCACACGTAGCTCTTTCCTATCAATCCTGGCTCCTGATATCAATTAAACCATTACATCCATATAAATACATACATTCTCGGGTTTATCCATCACAACACACCAAACATAATCACATAGCTCCCACTCATACGTCGGGACGCACCCGGCCACGTACGGGGTCTGTCAACACGCCGGCTAACCCAAAGACGCGTGCGACCTCACACTGGGCCTGGCTACATTCTCACCAGCCCATCATACCATCATATCTCCCACTCATACGTCGGGACGCACCCGGCCACGTACGGGGTCTGTCAACACGCCGGCTAACCCAAAGACGCGTGCGACCTCACACTGGGCCTGGCTACATTCTCACCAGCCCATCACACAATCATATCTCCCACTCATACGTCGGGACGCACCCGGCCACGTACGGGGTCTGTCAACACGCCGGCTAACCCAAAGACGCGTGCGACCTCACACTGGGCCTGGCTACATTCTCACCAGCCCTCATACCATCATATCTCCCACTCATACGTCGGGACGCACCCGGCCACGTACGGGGTCTGTCAACACGCCGGCTAACCCAAAGACGCGTGCGACCTCACACACTGGGCCTGGCTACATTCTCACCAGCCCTCATACCATCATATCTCCCACTCATACGTCGGGACGCACCCGGCCACGTACGGGGTCTGTCAACACGCCGGCTAACCCAAAGACGCGTGCGACCTCACACTGGGCCTGGCTACATTCTCACCAGCCATCATACCATCATAACTCCCACTCATACGTCGGGACGCACCCGGCCACGTACGGGGTCTGTCAACAACTCCGGCTAACCCAAAGACGCGTGCGACCTCACACTGGGCCTGGCTACATTCTCACCAGCCATCACACAATCATATCTCCCATCATACGCGGGACGCACCCGGCCACGTACGGGGTCTGTCAACACGCCGGCTAACCCAGACGCGTTGCGACCTCACACTGGGCTGGCGTACATTTCCCAGCCATCATACCATCCCATATCTCCCACTGAATAGTCGGGACGCACCCGGCCACGTACGGGGTTGTCAACACGCCGGCTAACCCAAAGACGCGTGCGACCTCACACTGGGCCTGGCTACATTCTCACCAGCCATCATACCATCATATCTCCCACTCATACGTCGGGACGCACCCGGCCACGTACGGGGTCTGTCAACACGCCGGCTAATCCAAAGACGCGTGCGACCTCACACACTGGGCCTGGCTACATTCTCACCAGCCATCATACCATCATATCTCCCACTCATACGTCGGGACGCACCCGGCCACGTACGGGGTCTGTCAACACGCCGGCTAATCCAAAGACGCGTGCGACCTCACACTGGGCCTGGCTACATTCTCACCAGCCCTCATACCATCATATCTCCCACTCATACGTCGGGACGCACCCGGCCACGTACGGGGTCTGTCAACACGCCGGCTAATCCAAAACGCCTGCACCAGCCATCTTGGGCGGTACATTCTCACAGCCATCTACTGCACTGGGCTGAGCTAATCACAATATGAGGGGTACGTGGGGTAGTGCGTATAGCACTGTAAACTAATATTCAATCTCCTTATATACCATTATACCTCCACACAATTAATTAAATATATCATACAATAACATCAACCAATAAAACATTCCATAAACTCCCACCATTTAAATTCACCAATTTATATCCTAAACCCACAATATCCATTTTACTCAACAACGCTCAAGACCTGTCACTAAGGTCATTCTAACCCTCAAATAAAGGTAAGACTATCTCGGAAGTCTCACGGTCAACCTAGGGTCAAACGGGCCTGCGGGGCCCACAACCTCCAAACTCCGATCCGAAAGTTCCTAGAGGTTCTACAGGCTCTAGGACACATGTCCTGCAAGTTTGGTCCAGATCGGACGGTCGGATCGCTCACGATCGCACGACCGGACAATTTCTATAAACCCTAACACCAGGGTTGGCATTTCCGGAGTATCCGGGACTCCGTTTTACGATCCGTCGAATCCTATACAATCCTGGTAATACCTAGATCAACATATTATAATCTCAGGACCATCCAACGGTCCAAACCCAACGAACCCGGAAAATACGCGATATGCGATATCCGTTCGGGACTCTAACGATATCCAAATTGAGATCCGAGCACACCTACGCGCTCATGACAACCTGAGGATCACATTGGGACAAAAATGCCCCTCAGCTACAGTGCCCACGCGCCGCCACACGCGCCGGCAGCGCGTGGGTGTCCAAAGCGATAACACATCGCCGGAAAAACCACCAATCACGGCTCAAGACTCCTACCCTAGGTAAAACACCTAATTTGGAGTCACTTTTGTTCTTGGACGTACCCCAAAATCTGACCGGAAGTGGCCGGAATCTCATCCCGAAATCCGGCCGAAACCCAATTCGTAAATCGAGTTGCCTACGCTACAAATCGATCAATTCCTACCCAACAGGCAGCTAGAGCTCGGAAAATAGGTGAGAAACCATACCTTGATCGCAAGATTTGGTGGCCGGAATCGCCGGAACGAGCTCCGGAAAATCTGGGTAAAAACCGGCCGTTTTTCTGCACTTTCCGGCGGTATCGCTGCCGGCTGACATCGGAGAATGGGTGGGGTAGGACGGCGAAGTCAGGCCGGTCATTTTGGGACCGGTCTCGACCCGAGTGGTGGCCGGACGAATGAACGGTCGGCCAAAACGTGGCCGGCTGTGGTGGCGGTCGCGAACCAGAGGAGAGAGAGAGGGACGCGCGGGAGAGAGAGAGTGTGTGAGAGACGGGGGCAATTCCGTCTTTTAACCAAAAATCCCACTTCAAAATATTTACGATTATGCCACTGAGCTTCATTTGATCATATCTCTCTCGTTACAACTCCGATTCGAGCCCACTACGTGTCTACGGACTCATCTCACCGTGCTCTACGCAACGGTACAACCGGAATTCCCAAATTCCTTCCGGATAAGAAAATGACTAAAATACCCCTATCCCACGGGTAATTTCTCAATTCCACTTAAATAAATTAAAACATGGGATAAATTTGGGGTCGGGGGTGTTACATACGAAGTTGTGGTCAAAGCATAATCTCTGTCTCATCAAATGCTCCAGATGTCCACAACTCATTGTAAAGTTGTGAAAACTAAGAATATAAACAATGACTTGATGCTTTGAGCACCAAAATGCAATCAAATTCAATCTTTGGTCAGAGGGATACGTGTCTATGTGAAACTATAATAATTGGCTCCACTTTAGCCATGACAATATTCTAGGATTAACTCAGCGCACCTTCACCTCTATAATATTCTCCTCACCACCACCAACAGTTTGTCGACTAATTTCATGCCAAAACTTTCTACCTCCATCTATCAGTCTTTTTAGCATAAATGATCTTTAAATGGTTATTTTGATTGTGAAAATAAATGCTCCCTAAATTTTCAATTTCAATATAATAATTTAGACTATAAGGTTTAGTGCTCTCGTCTTTTCATATAAATATCATTAAACAATGTTTGTCGTACTGCTAGTTAGATGGTATTCAATCAAATGCAGCACGTTGCTATAAGGATTGTGTTGGCGAGTCCTTAGTTACGATTTTGGTTTCCAATTATAATAGGAGTAAAGGGGAGAGAAATTATGTCTGTGTGAATAGGTAAAGTATAGATATGGAGGAATTCCTCCTCCATTTTGATTTGATTTTGTTTTTTTTTTTTTTTTTTTTTTTTTTTTTTTTTTTTATTTATGTAAAATTAAAATTGCTTTGGTTGGAGTATGACCAAACTAGAAGGATTCATCTGGCAGCAAAATTAAGTTAGGCCTTTTGCCCTTACTGCTTGCCGCTGCCGCGAGCACATGTTTCCAACATAACTAAAATTTCTTTGGAAAATATGATATAAAATTAATATTTTGCTTGCTTGCAATTGCATATAATTTCAAGAATTTGAATTAAACGTTCAAGAAAAACCGAAAACAAAAGAATCAAAATATTACTATGCATAGTTGCATAGGCCAAATGCACAAAACCCCCCATCTTTGCACCTATTGTTGCAGCCACCACAATGCCCCTTATTGAAAGATGGATTTACACATTTTCCCTTGCAGCATACCTCATTGTACCTACACTTCTTTCCACATCTTCCACAGTTGAGGCGGTCTGTCAACACATTAACACACTTCTTCTTGCAGCAGGAAGGCCCTGGGCTTCCCTTAGAACGGCATATCCTAGGGAACTTCTTACAAGTCAATCGCAGCCGGCGCTTGCGCAAGAGAGAGCGGCCATTTCCATGTAAGGTTGAAGATTGTTCTTCAGTTTCGTTTACCAGAGAGTTCAAAGAATCATTAATATTGGTTTCATGTTCTTCCTCCTCTGCATTGGGGTTTGCTTCAATGTTGGTTAGAACAAGAGCCAAGAGGAGAAGAAACATCAAGAAATGCTGTATCAGCTTCATGGAGAAAGAATGTGTAATGAGAGGTTTCTAGGGAGAGGTTTTGTGTTGTTGGAAGGGAAACAGGCTTAGATGGGACTTGGGAATGAATGGTTGATTAAGGGTGACAATGAGGTGGGTTTTTATAGGAAGATTGGCATGCAGATTTTTCCTTTTGAACTTAGTGGAGTGGTCTACATACCAATAAAAAAACTAAATTTGGATCGTGAAAATTGAGCCAAAAGTTAGGTCGTCATTCCAACGTCAAACAAGTTCAAGGAACGCGGCGGAGAGGAGGAAGCTGACTTATGGGGATTGAAAAAGTGGAATTAAAATAGAGATATTTAGTGATAGACCTATTCTTAGCACTAATATTATAGATAAACCCTCCATCATTGAATTTCTATAAACAAACCCAAAAAAAACCCTCAAAAGTGACAGCTGGCCTTATTGAATTTAATATTGATTATTAAATTACTTTAATGCCCTATTGAGTGTTTTGGGTATTTTTATATGAGATTTTGAGGTTGGGCTTGTTTTAAGAAATTTATGGTAGTTTTGTAATTTATAAGAAGTTAAGGCCTCTTTGTTATGTTGTAAATGGGTTTTGGGTGTGTTTATAAAGTTCATTTCATATGGGGTATTTTTATAATTTGAGTCCCCATATTGGGTATATTAGTGAATCTCCCATTAAAATAAGGAGCTGATTTCTCCATTTACACTCCCTTTTGCTTTTTAATACTTTTTAATCAATTTTGTTCTTTCTCTTTCCTATTCTACCCTTACCCTACATTAATTTATATTAATTCTTTTTCTTTATACTTAATTTTCAAACTTGCATTCCATTTTCAGTATTTTTTTTTCTTTAATAGAATAAGAAATTAAGTTTTTTCTTCCCTTTAATACTGAAAATGGAGTGTTAGTTGGAAAATTAAGTATAAAAATAATAATAATAATAATATAAAGGGAGATTTTATTGGCACCCTATTATTTGCTCTTTACACCCCATACTAATTTTAAACATGAATAACCTATTTTACCCTTGTACATAATTACAGTTAAGGACAAAAAAAAATTTATAATTAAAATTAAAATTGCTCACTACACCCCACATATGTTCCTGCAACCATAGTTTGACTTTTTTCTCAAACCATCATGTTCCTAAACCCTAAACCCTAGATTTATACGTTTATATTGGTGAAAAAATATCTTGTATTTATTCATGAAGGGTGAGATTGAAGTTAGAGATGCTTTGAATGAGGTATGAGTTTATTTTTTGGCGTTTTGCAAGTTTAGTATTTCATAATAGTCGCTGGTTGCGTTCAGCACATCAGTATCGAACGCGATAGGTAAATTTGGTGGGATGCCACAGAAACATTGCACCTTTTTTGGTTGTGTTTGACCGGTCATGAACTTAATAATCGGTGGAGATCCACTGTAACACCGGTCATGAACTTAATATTCGGTGGAGATCCACTGTAACATGGAACGTAGTTCAGTGGTTTACTACCGAACTTTTATTTGCGTTTCAGTGGCATCGAACCGAAATTTATTTATTTTTTCACTAACTTTTTGCCGACCACAAATTTAATGGAAGCTATTTTGATCTTACTCCCATTGAAGGAACAAAAACAAGGTGACGCCCCTACTGAAGACAATAATGTGGGAACAGAATGTGTAATGGACTATAGTGATCAATTCACAACTTATTCGGTAATTATTTTGAGTTTTTGTTTGTCTGAAATCCTTTTAGTATTATTAATGTGGCATTAATGTTTCAAATTTTATCCTTTTGTCATTACTGCTTTTGCGGCGGCCATGAGCACATGTTTTCAAAATAACTAAAAATTTCTTTGGAATTATGATATATAAAATTAATATTTTGTTTGCGTGCTTGCAATTGCATACAATTTCAAGAATTTGAATTAAACGTACAAGAAAAACCAAAACCGAAGTAATCAAAAGATTGCTATGCATAGTTGCATAGGCCAAATGCACAAAACCCCCCATCTTTGCACCTATTTTTGCAGCCACCACAATGCTTCCTATTGAAAGATGGATTTACACATTTTCCCT